TAAAGCAAAACATAGAACCGATGCAAGGATCCAGATTTCGCGTGACCATGGCATAACATAGCACGACAGAACAGCACCGGACCTTATAAGACCTTGATATTATAGCGTGGACAGCTTCCGAGAGTACCAGATACTCATTGCATAGATCTTCTCCGGACAAATAACAAATAGCAACACAAGACATAGCAAAGACATAGTTCCCCAAGCCTTACATCATGTGTTAGCTTCACTGTAGCATACCAGAGAATATAGCCTACTACGAATTAGCACAGCCCCCCCATATCTGAGACCCACGCTGCGCTGCCATAGCAGGGTGTCGGCATAGGCCACAGGCGCCTGATACAAAAGGGCCTTCTTCATCGTCACTCTTCGTCGCTCGCTGTGGTCGTCGTCGTCGTCGTCATGTTCGTCGAGGTCGTTGATACCTTAATTAACACAGGCTAAGTCCAGGCCACCCTGACACTTACGGCCAGGGATAGAGCCACGCTGGCTGTAAACATATGTCCTGCAACATGATGGCCATGTAGACCCTGACACTTACGGCCAGGGATAGAACCACGCTGGCTCTGAACATATGTCCTGCAGCTTGATAATCTAAGGACCCGTGGAGGTACAGGCATGCAAACGACTGCAAAGCATAGAAGCATACTGGTCTTGCAGTTCGCGGCAGTGGAAGCACAGAGCGCTAAAGCATGAGGCGTGCATAGACACCGAGGTCGAGCAAGCTGTAATCCGATTGCGACAGGATATCCCGCATGCCATCTCGGAAAAAAATGGCGGTCTCGCATTCCCAAATCGCCCATTCCATGATGCGTTTGCGGACGTGCCCGGACATAGAACGCAACACACGCCAATCGTCGATATAGTCACAGTGCTCACGCCGATCTGCCAGCACGATAGAACGCGCAAAGCGCACTGTCGTGTACGTGACCTGGCCGTGATAGCGGCCGAACCCCGCGTCCGTCATGACATCCATGATACGCGCGACGGAAATGGTGGTGCCGGCTTCCTCCAGATAGTACGCGATGCTCTTTGACAGAACGGCAAACTTTCGACGGTTCCTGCATAGATAATAAAACGTACCAAGCGGGGTCAGGCGCTCGGAAGGGTTGCGGAGAAGACGCTGTCCAACGGTCCCAGCGCATAGATTTCCATCACGATAACGCATGTGCTTGAAAATCACCGAAACACGCTTCCCCATGGCTCGCATAGCCGACGCGCGGTTGAGCATCGAGGGCGATCGCAAAACGTCCCAGCACATAGCAACCATAGGCGCCTCCCAGTATACTTGATAGAGAAAGCCAAATGAGAAAACGACAAGATGGAGAGGCGCGAGGTGATCGACTAACATAGTCCAAACCGTTCGAAATTCACGTACATCAGCACGGCTGCCCGCGGAGTGAATAGCGCAGCCGGTCCAATCTTGTACCCGCAGGTTGTCACGATAGCGAGCCCACGTGGGGTGGTACACCTCGAACATATGATTTTCCATGCGCCGATAGCCTGTCCAGCACACCCAACCGACGTCCGCGTGGAGCCATCTCCGCCCTGTATGGCGGCGCTCACAATATAGACAATACTTAGTACCGGAGTGGAAGACGGACGGCATAGGCGGCCCACAGAGCCCTCGCAGGACCCTCGCAGGACCCGACCAAAACGCCTAAGCCAAAACTGCAACGACACACACACACACACACAACATACACATCACATGACGCATAGAAGGGGAACATACTGATCTAGCGTGGCTCTAGTATAGCACATCATAGCAAAGCCAAGCACGCCCAACAGAAAAGAAAACATCAAGTTGTAGAAGGACTATAGCATAGCATAGCATAGACACAAGCTATCTCACAATTTTGTTCCTATAGCGTCCCCGTAGCACACCATGCCAGAGCAAGGCGGTAGCATAGCATAGCGTAGCAGAGCACGGCCATGCCATAATGATGATATAGCATGGCCATGCCAGAATATAGCACAGTATGACAGCTCCACGACCTGATGCTATAGGAACCTCATGTTATAGCGTGACTATAGGGATAGCAAAGCAGACGCGAAGTGTCCCTAAATCAGGGGAACCTCATGAAACGTCGCCATGAAATAACATAGACCAGCATAAGAGCACCTGAGCTGATAAGACCTTGATATTATAGCGTGGAGATCTGCCGAAACTATGCAGAACTCATGTTATAGCACAAGAGTAGCATCGAATAGCAAAGGACATACGAAAGACACTAGCCACGCCGTGGCATAACATAGCAGAGCATTCCGGCTCTCAAAACTGATGCTATGGAAACCTGCTATTACAGCGTGACTATAGGCACAGCAACGCACCTACAAAAGACGCCAGGTTCCCCAAAATCTGGGGAACCTCATGTTATAGCGTGGCCGTGACATAGTATACCACAGCATAGCAGGTCGTATACATAAGGAGAACCCTGATAGTATAGCGTGGCACAGGCATACTATAGCCCAGCATACCAGCTCGAAGACCTTGTGCTATAGGAACCTCATGTTGTAGACCATAGGGATAGCAAAACACCTACATCAAACACCTACATCAGACCATAGGGATAGTAAAACACCTACTCGTCTACTACTGTCACATCGTGGACCTTTTCTGGGGGGAAGCCCACAAGGCATCGTCGACGAGCGCCAAGGCGTCGACCTCCTGCACGCTGGCACAAATTCTCCAACCACCGAGGCGGCCAGACGTGCCATCCTTCTACTACTACTACTACTACTACTACTACTACTACTACTACTACTACTACTACTACTACTACTACTACTACTACTACTACTACGACTACTACTACCACTACTACTACTACTACTACTACTACTACTACTACTACTACGACGACGATTACTATCACTACAACAGCTACGACTACAACTACGACGACTACTACGAAAACGACTACACCTACGACTAACACAACGGCTACGGCTACGACTGTGGCTACAACCACGCCTGCGACTACGACTATTACTACTATTGCTACTACTACGACTGCGACCGAGACTGCTACTACTACTGCTGGTAATACTACGACTACTACCACGACTATTACCAATACTACTCCTATCACTACTGCTGCCACGACTACGGGTACTACTACAACTACCACTACTACAATTATTACTACTACTACTACTACTACTACTACTACTACTACTACGGCGCCGACGACGACTACGGCTACTCCTACCCCAACTACTACTACGATTACTTCGACTACTACGGCGACGACTACTACTACTACTACTACTACTACTTCTACTACTACATGTACGACCTCTACGACTACTATTACGGCTACGAGGACTACTACTACTACTACTACTACTACTACTACTACTACTACAAATACTACAAATACTACTACTAGTACTATTACTACTACTACTACTACTACTACTACTACTACTACTACTAATAATTGAACTACTACTACTACTACTACTACTACTTACTACCACTACCTACACTACTACTACTACTACTACTACTACTAACTACTACTACTACTACTACTACTACTACGACTTACGCTACTACTACTACTATACTACTACTACTACTACTACGGACTACTACTACGACTAATAACTACTAAACTACTACTACTAACTACTACTACTACTACTACTACTACTACGACTTACTACTACTACTACTATACTAACTACTACAACGAACTAACTACGACTACTACTACTACTACTACCACCACCACCATACCACTACTACTACTACTACTACTACTACTACTACTACAACTACTACTACTACTACCACTACTGCTACTTCGACTACTACCACCACTTCTACGATTACTTCTACGACTACTACTACTACTACTACTACTACTACTACTGCTGCTGCTGCTGCTGCTACTACTACTACTACTACTACTACTACTAATAATAATAATAATATTATTAATTATACTATTACGACTGCTACTACTACTACTACTACTGCTGCTGCTGCTGCTACTAGTACTACTACTACTACACTACTACTACTACTACTACTACTACTCCTACTACTACTACTTACTACTACTACTACTACTACTACTACTACTACTACTACTACTATACTACCACTATCACCACTACTACCACTCCACTACCTACTACTATACTACTCACTACTACTACTACTACTACTACTACTACTACTACACTACTACTTACGACTACTAACGACTACTACTACTACTACTACTACTACTACTACTCTACTGCTACTCGCTGCTGCTGCTGCTGCTGCTGCTGCCTGCTGTGCTGTTGCTACTACTACTACTACTACTACCACCACCACCACCACCACCACCACCAACCACCACCACCACCACCACCACCACCACCACTACTACCACGACTACTACTACTACTACGGCTGCTGCTGCGTGCCTGCTGCTGCTGCTGCTGCTGACCTACTACTCTACTACTACTACTACTGCTGCTGCTGCTGCTACTGCTACTACTACTACTACTACTACTACTACTACTACTACTACGACTACTACACTACTAACTACTACACTACTACTAATACTACTACTACTACTCCACTACTACTACTACTACTCTTACTACTACTACTACTCTACTACTGCTACTACTACTGCTACTACTACTACTACTACTATACTACTACTACCTACTACACTACTACTACTACTACTACTACTACTTACTACTACTACTACTACTACTACTACTACTACTACTTACTACTACCACTACTACTACTACTACTACTACTACTACTACTACTACTACTACTACTACTACTACTACTACTACTACTACTACTACTACTACTACTACTACTACTACTCTACTACTACTACTACTACCTGCCCCTACCCCCCCCCCACCTGCCCCCTTCTCTGCCTCCCCCCCACCCCCCCCCATCACCTGCCCTATCGTCACCGCATCCCCCGCCTCGTTCTCTGTCACCTCCTCCCAGCGGGGGGCTCCCCTGGCGCAGTCGCAGCAGCAGCTTGAGCGACTCGTTCGCGGCCACCAACAGACCCATGAAGGGCACGTTCATCGCCTGAGCGCGCAAACCCCCAGTGCACATGCACGCGCGCGCTGGTCGAGCTTCTCCCCCTTTTCCCAGTCAAGGAGGAGGGGGGAAGAAAAGGAGGAGGAGGAGAGGAGGACGAGGGGGGAGACGGTGGAGGTGGAGGAGGAGGGGGGAGCAGGAGGACGAGCAGGAGGGGCGGTGGAGGAGGGGGTCGGGCTAAGCTGTCGGCTGCGATGATGCATGCAAGGGTCAACTGCGTCGATTGCCAAAGCAAGGAAACGGACACTGTGGCGTTGTTCGCGGAGGTGCCTGCGCCAGGCCGCGCTGGCCGCTGCACGCAGGAAACAGCACGGTCTCTACCTCGGTTCCGCATGCCCCCCCCCCCCTCCCCGCCTGAAAATTGATCTACTCCACCACCACCTCTTCCTCCGCCTCGTACTCCTCGTCTTCCTTCTCCTCCGCATCCTCCTCCTCGCCGTCATTATCATGGTCATGAGCATCATCACCATCAGCATCATCATCATCATCATCATCATCATCATCATCATCATCATCATCATCATCATCAGCATCAGCATCAGCATCAGCATCATCATCATCATCATCATCATCATCATCATCATCATCATCATCATCATCATCAACATCAACATCAGCATCAGCATCATCATCAGCATCATCATCATCATTATCATCATCAGTATCATCAGCATCATCATCATCAGCAGCAGCATCATCATCATCATCATCATCATCAGCATCATCATCATCATCATCATCATCGTCATCGTCATCATCAGCATCATCATCATCCTCATCATCATGATAATCAGCATAATCATCATCAGCATCATCATGATCATGATCATGATCATCATCCTCATCATCAGCAGCATCACCATCATCATCAGCAGCATCAGCATCAGCAGCAACGCCATCAGCACCATCATCAGCAGCATCTGCAGCATCATCATCATCAGCATGAGTATCATCATCAGCAACAGCATCATGATGATCGTCATCATCGTTGTCGTCGCCGCTGTGTTATCATCAGCAACATCAGCATCGTCAGCACTATCGCCATCGCCGTCCTCATCCTCACCATCAGCATCGACAGCAGCATCACCATCATCATCATCATCATCATCATCATGATCATCAGCCTCACTGTCGTCAGCATCATCGTCATCAGCATCATCATGATCATGATCATCAGCATCAGCAGCAGCCTCATCATCATCACCATCATCATCAGCAGCATCAGCATCAGCAGCAACGCCATCAGCACCATCATCACCATCATCAGCAGCATCATCATCAGCAGCAGCATCATGATCGTCATCATCGTTGTCGTCGTCGCTGTGGTATCATCAGCAACATCAGCATCGTCAGCACTATCGCCATCGCCGTTCTCATCCTCACCATCATCGGCGCACACAATTATGATCATCAGCAGCAGCGTCAATATCATCCTCATCATCACCATCATCAGCAGCATCAGCATCAGCAGCAACGCCAGTATCATCATCATCATCATCATCATCATCAGCATCATCATCAGCATCATGATCATCATCATCATCATCATCATCATCATCATCATCATCATCATCATCATCATCATCATCGTCGTCGTCGTCGTCGTCGTCGTCGCTGTCGTCGTCATCAGCAACATCAGCATCGTCATCAGCATCGCCATCGCCGTCCTCATCCTCAACATCATCATCGGCAGCATCATCATCATTACCATCATCATCATCACCATTGGCGTCGGCATCGTCGTCATCAGCATCATCATACCCATCATCACCACCAACAACAGCATCATCACCATCACAATTATCAATATGCACCATCATCAGCCTCTTCATCGGCAGCTGCAGCAGCATCATCAGGATAAACACTGTCACCGTCACCGTCACCATCACCGTCAACATTCCCATCAGCTTCAGCATCACTACCATCATCACCATCACCATCTCCACTATCACCATCGTCACCACCATCAGCATCAGCATCATCAGCATCAGCAAAAGCATCAGCAGCATCGCCTTTATCATCAGCATCGGCATCATCATCAACATCACCGGCATCAGCAGAATTATCAGCATGTGCAGCAGCAACATCATCATCATCATCATCATCATCATCATCATCATCATCATCATCATCATCATCATCATCATCATCATCATCATCATCGTCATCGACAATAGCATCAGCACCATCAGCATAAGCATTATCATGAACATCATCAGCACCATCCGCATCGGAATCATCATCACCACCATCATCATCATTAGCAGCATCATCATCATCGGCATCGTCCTCGCCATCGTCATCGTCATCAACAGCAGCCGCATCAGCATCAAAATCATCATCAACATCAGCATCATCATCAGGATCATCAGGATCACCGAAACCATAGTCAGCATCATCATAATCATCGTCACCATCATCATCGACATCATAATCAGCATCATCATCAGCATCAGTACAAGCAGCATTAACAACAACAGCGTCATCGTCGTCGTCATCATCATCATCATCAGCAGCAGCAGCAGAAGCAGCATCGCCATCGTCATCATCATCACCGTCATCAGCATCAGAACCACAACCATCAGATGTATCAGCATCATCGTTATCAGCATCATCAGCAGCAGCATCATCATGCTCATCATCACCATCATCGGTATCAGCAACAACAGTATCAACAACGACATCATCATCAGCAACAAAAGCATCATCATCACCAGCATCGTGATCATCAGCATCATCCTTATCCCCATCCGCATCATCATAATCCTCATCATCATCAGCATCATCATCATCATCACAACCACCGACATCATTACCATCATCGTCACGTTCATCAGCCTCATCATGATGATCATCATCATCAGCAGCCTCATCATCATCAGCATCGTCATCATCAGCAGCATCTTCATAATCATCTGCAGCTTCATCCTCATCATCATCATCATCATCATCATCATCGTCATCGGCAACGTCATCGGCATCGTCATCACCACCACCACCATCATCGTCATCAGCATCATCAGCGTCAGCATCATCATCACCATGAGCATCATTGTCAAAATCATCATCATCACAATCATCATCATCACAATCGTCATCATCGTCATCATCATCATCATCATCGTCATCATCGTCATCACTATCATCATCAACGTTATGATCATAATCATCATCATCAGCAGCATCACCATCATCAACATCATCATCATCGTGACCGTCAATTTCATCATCATCAGCAGCAGCAGCATCAGCATCATCGTCGTCGTCGTCATCCCGCCCACGCGGAGGCCGCGCGCGAGAAGCGCGCGAGAGAGGAATACAAACGCTCGCGCCGGCCGCCGCGGGCGGGAGACGGGGGCGGCGGGGCGCCTTCCCCCTGCTACCTCTGCCCTCTTCCCCTCCCATTCCCCGGTAATGGTAACGGAACAGGAGATCTACGCAATGGTAAGGGATGGTAGGGAGGGGTAGGACGTCAGATATGACGCGAGCGCACCTAGCTTGTCCTCTCCCCTTCCCCTCCTCCCCCCTGTCTTCCACTCGCCTTTTCTCATTGATTGTGCCCAACACGACGGTGCCTTGTTGGGAGATCCAGGTCCGCCGTGGCGCGCGAACGCGGACAGAGCACCACGAAACACAGCGCAACAGGGAAGGGATGGGAGGGAGGGGCCAGATGTCACAGAGGGCGCGAGCGCACCTATAGCGTGACTCTGCCAACCTCTCCCTCCCCCCTCCCCCCTTTCTGCCCAACCCTCGCTCCCTCTCCCAACCTCTCCCTCTCCCTCCCTCTCCTCCCCCCCTCCCTCTCCCTCCCCCTCCCTCCTCCCTCTCTCCCTCCCCCCTCTCCCTCTCCCTCCCTCCCTCCCTCCCTCTCCCTCCCTCTGCCAACCTCTCCCTCTCCCTCCCTCTCCGTCCCCCTTCTCCCCCCTTCCTCTCCCTCTCCCCTCTCCTCCCTCCCCCCCTCCTCCCATGCCCTCCCCCCCTTCCCATCCCTCCCCCTCCCTCCCACCCCACCCCCCCCCCAGGGACGGGAGCGGCGCGGCGCCATGGTAGTCGGCAAGCTGCGGTAGAAGGCGGCGAGCCTGCACCCAGCAAATCGAGGGCCGAGGATCGAGGATCGAGGGTCGAGGGGCGAGGGTGTCTGCCCTTTGGATCGAGGATCGAGGATCGAGGATCGAGGGTCGAGGGTCTAGGGTCGAGGGTCGAAGGTCGAGGGTCGAGGATCCAGGCTGCAGGCCGCAGGCTCGGGGATCGAGGGTCGAGGGGCCAGGGCTAGGCCTCCGAGGACCTGCGGAGGCCTTCGGAGAGAAGAGGAGAAAGGGACGGAGGACTCCTCCGTCCCTTCGTCCTCCCCTTCTCCAGGAGGCCCTGGGAGGCACCCGGAGCCCCAAGAGACCACGGGGCAGCCAGAGAGCTTCGGGCTGCCCCAGGAGCGCCCCCCAGGAGGCCACGGGAGGCCCCGGGGAGAGACCAGGCATGCCCCGAGAGCACGGGAGGGCCCGGGAAGCCCCATCCTCCTTGGGGAGGGAGAGACAGGGGAGGGGGTTTGCAAAGCTGTCGAAGCGGATGGCCTGTCGGCCGAGTGCGGCGCTGCAGCGGGCAGAACACGAAGTAAAAAACGATGAATACCCCTACACGTGTACCAAGAAGCAAGCACGTTACAGTACGATGGGACCCCAGCGACAGAGCGGACGGGACGCGTCGAACCGAAGCAATGTGTCCAGACCCTCCCCATCCTCACATGAACCCCCACCCTCCAAAATAGGCGTCTGGACGAGAAACGCTAAAGAGGTAACAGATGGTTTGCTGTGTCCGTCCAGGGCACTCCGGAGGAATGGTGGAGGGAGGGAGCATTAAAGTTGAAGAGAACGAGGAGGAGGAAAAGCCTGGGACGCAGACCGAAAACCCTCTGCTCTCGTTACACTGGCCACTCCAGGTTCAAAGGCTGGAGGCGCAGGGATGTGCAGAGGGAATTGGAGAGGGAGGGAGGCAGGGAGGGAGGGAGAGGAGGGAGGGAGGGAAGGGAGGAAGGGGGGAGGAGAGAAGGAGGGACAGACAGAGGGAGAGGAGGAGGAGGAGGAGGAGGAGGAGGAGGAGCAGCAGCAGCAGCAGCAGGAGGAGGAAGAGGGCGGAGGAGGAGGGAGGAGGAGAGGAGGAGGAGGAGGAGGAGGAGGAGGAGGAGGAGGGGAGGGTCAGGGGGTCAAAGGGGTTGGGGAGGTTCTTGAGAGCAGGCACTAAGGCGTTCCAGGGGGCAAGAGACTTCCAGGGAAAGAGGGGGGCGAAGGGAGGGATTGACGCGAGCTGCTGTTGGCGACACTGGACGCACAACCAGAACAGCAGCTCGAGACAAGAAGGCTTGCGACAGGCTGCAAGCAGGGGCGGCAGGGCGCGGCGTGTGAGACTGACGCGTAGTATGCTCAAGGCGAGCGGTGGTGCAGCATTAGTACGAGCAGCGAATTTGTGCAGTCCTTCGTGATGCCATGCGTGTCCTCGCTGGTGGCATTAATAATGACGCAATGATGATGACGCGGCAATTACCAATGGTTGCAGCATTGGTCCACTTGATGCTGGTGTCGGTGTTGACTCGCATTTCAATGATGGTGCAGACTTTAGTTTTCACATCCACGGTTTGTGAGAGGCTCTTGGCACACGTGGATGAAGACCTAATAGTCGAAAGTAGCAATGAGGGAGAGTGGCATGTTCTGACGCTGGGCAGTGACGTTCAACCCCAGGAAAAAACGCTTCGGCACACCTCGACGGCTCCCCGTCACCATAGGCTACGGGGTTGGGAAAGCAAGCGAGAAGACAGTAAAAACAGGTGACGCAAGAACCGCGGCGCGCTCGCGCGCCCTCGCCGTCGACGCCCGCTCTCCCCGGCCCGCTCGGCCGCCCCACCCCCTCGCCCGGCGGCGCAGCAAAACGGGGTGAGGCGAGGGGGCGGCCTCCTGGAGGAGCTGCCCGCAGGGCGGCGAGATCTATGCACGCGTCCACTGCCCCAGGCCTGGCCCAGGCCTGGGCGCGGCAGCGGTGCACGCGCCTCCCTGGCCAAGGCGGGGGCGCATGCACCGCTCCGGGGCCCAGGCTGGGCCTAATTACGCCTGGGGCAGTGGACGTGCACATGGATCTCGTCGCCCTGTGCCCACATCACCACGGAGTCAAATCGGCAAAAGCGCGTAGACAGAAGCTCTCGGGCGTCCGCGCGGAGTTCCCGGGGTCGGCTGGGCTCCCCCTCCCTGGCGCGCCAGGGCGCGCCAGTGGCGGCGCCGGAGGCGCCGACCCAAGAAATCCGCGCGGACCTCCGAAAGGTTGCGTTTACGCAGCTCTTCTTCGAACTCCAGAGAATCGGCGACTCCGAGGGGTGTGGTCTGCGAAGGGTGCGGCTCGCAGCCCGCACCCCGAGGGGCGGGCGAGGACCTCGACGGAGTTCTCCGCCGCGCCCCAGCATGGGCTCGTCAAGCCTTCATGGCGCATCGAGGTGTCCCCCAAGCCTCAACGGCGCAAATCGCAATCCACACTCCGGCTCGGGTGCGCCGAAGAGGAAGGCCACGAAGAGGTGGGGGGCACAATGGCCGGAAGCACGTGCGCGGACGAGGGGGACCAGGGAACGCCGTGAAGGACAAAAAGAATACGAAGAAGAAGAAGAAGAAGGAGAAGGAGAAGGAGAAGAAGAAGGAGGTATCATGGCACCGACCATGATATCCACCCTCCAAGTAATCACCTCCCTCTTCGACGCCTGATGGTCTCGGACCATTACTCGGGCCTCAGCGGCGATTCGGGACGATCGTGGCACCCCAAGGGCGCCATCGGCAAGGAGCAGCTGCTGGCAAGCATCCCGAAGGTGGACAACTGCCGAAGACACGCGAAAACATCTGCTGGTCCCCACCCTCTTGGGCGCCTCCGACCTTCGGGGCAAAGCGAGGGAGGGACCAGCTCCGGGGGGGAAACATCGACATGGAATCGGCGACATCTTGCCAAAACATGATCGACCCACGAACCCGGAAAGGAATATAGAAATGTAACGTATGGCAACTTTTCAAAGACACCTGATTGGGTGACGGGCAAGTGCAATGCTGATTGTATCGATCTTGATGTACCGTGCCGAGGGCTGTGCTGTGCTGCACCGTGCTGCATTGCGATGTGCCATGCCGCGGTTGTGCTCTATAGCGTCGTGGATCGAGTCTTCCTTTGCATCCGAGTCCTGACCGAACTGATCTGGATCTTAAGCTCGAGCTGCCTGAACACATAGTAGCTGCCCCAGAGCTAATTGACAGGGGGACATGCCAGGAGGACGCGCCGCGAAACGTCCCAAGGGACGCGCCAGGCGACGTGCCAGGGGACGTGCCATGGGATCGCACCGTAGGACGTGCCAAGGAGACGCGCTACGGAATGTGCCAATGGATGTGCCACGCGACGTGCCAGGGGGACTCGCCAAGGGACGCCCCACGGAACGTCCAAGGAACGTGCCAGGTTGCAATGCTGATTGTATCGATCTTGATGTACCGTGCCGAAGTCTGTGCTGTGCTGCGCCGTGCTGAATTGCGATGTGCCATGCCGCAGTTGTGCTCTATAGCGTCGTGGATCGAGTCCTCCTTTGCATCCGAGTCCTGACCGAACTGATCTGGATCTTAAGCTCGAGCTGTCTGAACACATAGTAGCTGCCGCAGAGCTAATTGACAGGGGGACATGCCAGGAGGACGCGCCGCGGAACGTCTCAAGGGACGCGCCAGGCGACATGCCAGGGGACGTGCCATGGGGACGCACCGCGGGACGTGCCAAGGGGACGCGCTACGGAACGTGCTGGGGACAAGCGTTTCGCTCGAGACATCCTGTCAAAATCCTCATTCTAGACATCCGCCTGAGCGACCTGGACACGTGAAAACAAACGTTTCGCTCAACACATCCTCAACACATTCTCATGCTAGACATCCGCCTGGGCGAACTGGACACGTGAAAACAAGTAGTTCGCTCGAGACATCCTCAACACATCTTCATGTGAGACGTCCGCCTGGGTGACCTGGGCACGTGAAAACAAGCGTTTCGCTCGAGACGTTTTCAACACCTCCTCACTCTAGACATCCGCCTTGGCGACCTGCACACGTGAAAGCAAACGTCTCGCTCGAGACATCCTCAACACATCTTCATGTTAGACATCCGCCTGGGCGACCTGGACACGTGAAAACAAGCGTATCTCTCGAGACATTCTCAACACATCCTCATGCTAGGCATCCGCCTGGGCAACCTGGACACGTGCAAACAAGCATCTCGATCGAGACTTCCTCAACACCTCCTCATTCTAGACATCCGCCTGGGCGACGAGGACGCGTGAAACCAAGCGTCTCGCTCGAGACATCCTCAACAAATCCTGGCGCTTGACCTCTGCCTGGGCAACCTGGAGGCGTGAAACCAAGCGTCTCGCTCGAGACATCCTCAAGACCTGGGCACGTGAAACCAAGCATTTCACTTGAGAGATCCTCTAAATTCTGGTCCCCAGGAAACGACAATCCATAACACAAAACAAGCGTTTCGCTCGAGACATCCTCAACAAATTCTGAAAAAAAACAAGCGTTTCGCGAGGGACATCCTCGAAAATAATTCCGCCGGCCCACCTCGACCTCGATATTCATCAGGGAATAATTCCGCCGGCCCACCTCAAGTCAGGTCCGGGGGCAAACAGCTAAAAGAGAACCCTGGGCCTAAGCCCTTTCCGGGAAAAATCGTTGATACGCCCCCGAGACGCCGCCTGCGTCCGCGCGGTTCCCCTCCTCCTCCTCCTCCTCCTCCTCCTCCTCCTCCTCCTCCTCCTCCTCGTCCTCCTCCTCCTCCTCCTCATCATCATCATCCTCCTCCTCCTCATCATTATCCTCCTCCTCCTCCTCCTCCTCCTCCTTGTCCTCCCCCTCCTCATCCATTCCTTGTCCTTATAAATAACTTCTCCCTGTCGCACCTCGAGGTTAGTTTTTAGGGCGGTCCTGCAACAGTTTCACAAATGGAGGGCGGATCCTTTTCAAAGTTTGGCTCTCGCCTTAGCGCCGCGCACATTAGTTTTAAAACATTGCAAGGGCTTCACGGATTGAAGGCGGGT